TCTAGAAGGTATCCAGCCATGTAATATGAAAAACAGAGGCATTTATTGAAGAAGGTACAAGATACAAAAAACATTGTACATAGGACATTAACACCTCAGTCTCCTTCAAAGTAGGGACCTTGGGGCCTCACTCAGTTCTCCTAATCACTATCAGCTGCCCCATCATAATTCCCTGAATCTCATCAATAGACTCAAATCTCTTCCCTTTCCAAAGTGATTTTAGTTTTGGGGAAAAGCCAGAAGTCACAGGGCACCACATCAGGGCTTTAGGGGGACTGAGTCACCTGGGTGATTTGATTTCACCAAACAACTCTGCATAAGATGTGATGTGTAAGTGGGCACGTTGTCATGATGAAGCTGCCAATCACCAGCTGCCCATAGCTATGGCCTTCTAGATCACCACAGTAGTTTCCGAGGAGGAATGTTGAAGCTTAATACAAAATTTGCATTGCTCTACTCAATCATTTTGAATGACCACACAGTACACATGCTTACTCAAGGTGTCTACTGCCCCCACTGACCAAGTACAATGAAGTTGTCATTCTTCGTGTATATTCATTCCAGTCCTTTCTCCTTGGCTGCCAGGTTGTATCGTTAATGGCTGAACTTTTTCTGGACAGACCTCGTGTTTCAGTAAGGTTTCAACATTCGATTAAAAACAGGAATATATATAGATTTCTGGCCAAGATGGAGGTGTGGGTAGATACGCTTTGCCTCCTTGCACAACCAAAACAAGGACAACAAAATATTTAAATACAAAAAATTATCAGAACTGCCAGAAAATCAAACTGTATGAAGTCTAACAACCAGAGTTAAAGAAGAAACATTCTTCCAGACTGGTAGGAGGGACAGAGACGGACAGCTGGGGTGGAGAGGACTCACAGCAAGGTGGTGGGTGGTGGAGTAGGTGAGGCGGTGGCTGGCAGGCTGGGTGACCCCACATTTGCATATGGATAAACCAGGAGGAACAATTGGGGAGTGAGACAGACTACACAACCCAGGGTCCCGGCATGGGGAAATAAAGCCTGAAAACCTCTGGCTGTAAAAATCTGTTGGTGGTTGTGGCAGCAGGAGAAACTCCCAGCCCCACAGGAGAGTTTGTTGGGGAGACCCAGAGGGTCCTGGAATGTATAAAACCCATCCATCTGGTAATCAGCACCAAAAGGGCCCAATTTGCTAGTGGATACCAGAGGACATGACTGAAAGCCAACTGAGAGCCAAGTAAGTGCCATTGTTCCCTCTTGGACCCCTCCTCCACATACAGTGCTAGAAAAAAGTGTTGTGGGTTCAGACACTTAGGTCCTGACCAATACCTAAGGCTCTGCCCCTTACTATGTAACGGGCAGGGAGTCAAAAAATATGGCCAAAATAAAAGAACAGACCAAAGCTAAAAAAAATACAAATAGGCAATGAAGACATACCCAACCTATCAGATGCACAGTTCAAAACACTGGTAATCAGGATGCTCACAGAATTGGTTGAGTATGGTCACAAAATAGAGGAAAAAGGAAAAGTTATGCAAGGTGAAAGAAAGGAAAATGTACAGGGAACCAACAGTGATGGGAAAGAAACTGGGACTCAAACCTGGCTTGGACCAGAATAAATAAATAAACATTCGACCACAACAGAATGAAGAAACAAGAATTCAAAAAAATGAGGAGAGGCTTAGGAACCTCTGGGACAACTTTAAACATTCCAACATCCAAATCATATGGGTGCCAGAAGGAGAAAAGGAAGAGCAAGAAACTAAAAGGTTATTTGAAAAAATGATGAAGGAAAACTTCCCCAATCTGGTGAAAGAAATAAACTTCCAGGAAGTCCAGGAAGCTCAGAGAGTCCCAAAGAAGTTAGACTCAAGGTAGCACACACCAAAGCACATCATCATTACATTACCCAAGATTAAAGAGAAGGAGAGAATCTTAAAAGCAGCAAGAGAAAAGGAAACAGTTATCTACAAAGGAGTTATCATAAGACCATCAGCTGATTTTCCAAAAGAAACTTTGTAGGTAAGAAGTGTCTGGAAAGAAGTATTCCAAGTCATGAAAGGCAAGGACACATATCAAAGACTGCTCTATCCAGCAAAGCTTTCGTTTAGAATGGAAGGGCAGATAAAGTGCTTCCCAGATAAGGTCAAGTTAAAGGAGTTCATCATCACCGAGCCCTTGTTATATGAAATGTTAAAGGGACTTAAGATAAAAAATATGAACAGTAAAATGACAACAGACTCACAACTATCAGCAACCAAAGCTAAAAATCAAAAAGAAAACAAGTAGAACAGGAACAGAATCACAGAAATGGAGATCACATGGAAGGTTATCAGCAGGGAGGGGAAGGTGGAGAATGGAAAAAAGGTACAGGGAATAGGAAGCACACATTATAGGTACAAATAGACAGGGAGAGGTTAAGAATAGTACGGGAAATGGAGACACCAAAGAACTTAATATGTATGACCCATGGACATGAAACAAGGTGGGGGAATGCTGGCAGAGGGGAGTGCAGGGTGAAGGAGAATAAAGACAAAAAATGGGACAAGTGTAATAGCATAATCAATAAAATGTAACTTTTTTAAAAAGAAGGAATATAAAAATTTGATTTGCAAGTTCAACCTTTCAACAATATGGAAAACTAAAACTAGTTTTTGTCTGTTGGAAAGGTAGAGAAATATTCCCGATATAAATAGAGATTTTAGAAATTCAAAAGGGGGACCCAGCACTATTAGCTAAATGGACACAGGCATGCCTGATATAGCACCTATCATCAGAAAATCTCAGTGCCCTTCATGGGAAGGCCATGAGAGAAAGCTTTTCAGCAACTGAAAAGAAACTGTAAGGCAGACTTAAAGTAAAAGTCTCCACTTTCTAGTCACAGATTTGCTCTTGCATTTATAGAAAGCTTTCACCTAAAGGGCAAGTCAGCATATTCTTATCAGTGAAAATTCAGGAGAATCTGAAATTCCAAATACATTGTTATATTAAAATTAGACTCTTGGAAGACATAAATTTTTTTATAAAAAATTTATTTCTCTGTAAATACAAATTCCAACATCAACAAACAATAGTCCAGTGGAAAAATACTTAGCCATTAACATTGAAAATTTTTTTTAAATTTAATAAATATAACTTTGGCATTCAAAATTCTAGCTGTAAACCCTATTAAAAAACAAAAACAGAAAAACCAGCCCCTTTACAAAAAAAGAGGCAAGAATGACAGATCAAAAGGCATAAGCCAACCTGTGGCTTCACATTCTTTTTACAACGACTCTATTTCAGTTAAGTCATGACCACTGTATTTACACATGAGGTATTCTGGGTGGTTCAAAAACTGAACCTAGTTCACAAAGTCCACCAGCCACAAGGACTGATTATACACTCTGCTGTGCTTTTCACGTAACCACCGAGCACCTTACCACGTCTTGCCATCACACACCGATGTGATGCTAAGTTTTATGCTTATGTATTTAAATAACTATTTATACATACACACACACACACACACACACAAACACACGAAGTGACATTCCAAAGGAGTTTCCTGCTTACCATATGGGGAAAAGGATAAGCTCCAAACACATATATCTGGTTAACTCCTCTCATGTTTACTAAATTATCTACCTAGTAATGAAAACCTGCCCCTTGCTTTAAGAAAACAATCCTTAATCAGTCTACTTACAGAAGAACAAGGTGCAATAATCTTCGACATTCTTAGAGCTCACGTAAAATAGAAATGAATGCTTACTGCAGGCAAAGGCACGAAAGGTTCTCTCGGTATGCAGCTGCAAGAGTGTTGTTCATGACTTATTGATTTGAAACTACATCCTTAGCATACTCAAAACTTCTTTTAAGAAAAAATCCCAAATCTTTCCCCTTTCATGATTAAATATTATTAAATGTATAATATGACCATACAGCAATATGCCACCATGGCATTTAGGGTGAAGTTGGAAATTATACTTTATATACCAAATAAGTAATAGTTTTTTGTAAACAGTGAAAAGAATTGTTAAAAGTGGAAATGAAATAAATTAACTTTGGCTCTGAGAGCCATAGCTACTAGCAGTTTCAAATGATATAGTCTAAGTGAGCATGGTTATGAGAATTGCTTATTACTGTAATTACATATCTACAATGATGGAAATTTATGTAAAAGAATGCAAATAATCCAAACTAAATGTATGCCTGAGCTGAACTATACTACATAAAAACACAGTCCAGGTTCTCAGCTGCTAGTCAATGAACTACTATTGATATAAAAACATGTCTTCCCAATAAAATAGTTCCTTTAAAAATATCTTTTAAGAGACTCCTATTAATAAGTCTTGAACTATGACATTAATTTCTAAATTCATTAATAAGTCACAAATGTAAAATACCCATTTTAGCAATACTTGCAGCCCTTGAGATTGTCTCTAACAAACTAAAAGAAATCTAATTCAGTTTCATAAACTGTTATAACCAAAACAAATTTCACCAAAATATAATATTATTAACATTAAATATTGAATCCTATTTCAAATATAATACAGGGCCACACTTATTAAAAAGAAAAATCCAGGCATGAATTGCTAGTCAATACACTTAAGCTTTTTAACATGAGAGACCACTGAAAATTTGCTAACAATTAACTAAAGTCATCCTTTTTTTCTGACATCAAATGAGAAGACAGCCATTGTGCCTTTTGACCTGCACAGGCAACGCGGCTCTTTCACTGAGCCCACAGTTACTTTATCCCTGCCCTAACCTGACTGAGGCAGAATAAGCTCAACTTGAAAACCCAGAAGACTGATAATAAATGTTGATATTGCATGAGCTACTTCCCTAGAAGACAACCATTTAAATTCACAAAAGTGTAACTTAAAAGTTGTCATTTCTAAGGAAATTTTCCAACACATTTACTTTACAATTAGGTAATTTTGTATCCAGACCAATGTCACGGCAATAACTTCCAAGAACATTCTAGCTCCAACCAACACAACAGGTTGTCTTGGAAGGAGAAATTTTATAAAAATTGAAAATCAAAATTAAATACTGATGACTCAGAATACTAGTAGCTTGACTTCCCCTGCAAATACTCTCTAAAGTCTATTATCCATGTCCTTTCATAAACTCCAGAATCCAAGAGATTACATGTTATAATTCAAAGTTATACTTAAACTATCATATCTTAATTTCCTTTTTTAGGGCGTGTTTATTTTGGAAAATAAAATACATCAGCAGTAGTTTGTTAATTTTCCACTAAGTTAATTTTTTTTTACCTTAAGATATATGAATTAAGTCAAATTTTGTAGAACTTTTAGAAAACTTATTTTAAAAAATAAAATACTTTATCCCAATATATCTATAACAGATTAAAACATATGACCAAAAGTTTGTTTAAAACAATAGTAATAACCATAAAATCCTCAAACATATAAAACCTAAGAGACATTTAAGTAAAAATCCACTGATCCAAATAAATCAGTGATTATTTGCTCATTAGTACTATATTTTAGGGTGCCTTTATTTCCCAAATTATGGAGATTGGGGGCAGGGGGAGGAAATTCTATGCAAAGAGAATACAAAAGGCATGCTGCATTTTTGACTTACCTCTTTTAGATGCTACTATCTATTTTACTATAATGGGTCATTTTTATAGATATTAATTTTTAAAAGGCAGAATTCTTTGCATCAGATTTTTGGGTACAAATTTACTGCTCCCTGAATGTCTTCAACCCACCTACATTAAAAAGCAAATGAACACAGCAGAAAGCCAAGTTCTTACCAGTGACTAAGTCCCTCCTTACTAGTGTTAGGGGCCTTGGGATGCAGAATCGCTACAGTGCACTGAGTTCTTAGTGCCCAGACCCTAAGAAGTAAGAAGAGCAGGGACTCAGGCACTGAAGAGAAGGCAAGCTTGATGTCCTCACAACATACTGTAACTTACTGCTACAGTACAACTATCATGTGACTTAGTAAGAGCTGTATGTGAGGCAAATTCTGAACTGAATGTCTTCCTGGCCTTATACCACATGTTTTCACTGCTGAAAATATTTAAGAAGAATCTTTTCTAGGAGCAGCCTTTATAGTGGTATAGAAGCCTGGCCAGAAAACAGACATGTGACCTGCTCATATGCAAGACAATATTATCCTGCTTGATTCACACCCCTTATTCCTTCTACCTCTTACTCAGCTTAAATGACAGTTGGCTGCATCAAGAATACAAACCAACCGGTAAGGGACAATGATTGCCACAGCAAAATACACTCAAAAGAATGTAATGAATGCTCTGGAAGCAATAGAACATATAGTCCTTCCACAATACCAACTAAAATAGGGAGATACTCATTTAGAAGTTTAAATGATTGCATGTTTACTTAAGTATCAGTTGCATTTCATAGTAATATCATGTACTCCAGTAGGACCTGACCAAGTATGCATTCTATGAAAAAACCTGTTTGTAATATAATTTATGTAAGAAAAGGAACTGAAATATCACCTGATTTAGATTTTGTTTTATGCTATTGATAATTCTGATGTAAGGAAGACAGGTTGGCTTTTTCTTAATTTCAACTTTAAAACAGATACATAAACTGCTAACATGTAAACATTTGAGGTTTGGATAAATAAGCTATTGTTCCAGAGTCAGTTTGTTAATCTTTCTTTTACAACAATGACAAGGGCCCTTTAAAGGTCTGCATTAATTATACATGGCTTTGCTTATATTAGTATATAACATATAAGTAAAAAACTGTAAATAGTAAAGGACATGTTAAGATTAAGTTTGAATTATGTTAAACTGCCTTGTGATAAATTACTGTTAGTGGAACAGATCATCACATCAAAACTTCACACCTCTAAGGCAACCCACAATTGCTCTGAAGAACAGCTGACTGACCTACCGACAGCACCACAATCAGCCAGGCCCACCACCTCATCATCTCAGCATGGTGCGTGTTCAGAACACATGGTTGGATCTCCTGTGCTATCAGAACACTTGCCTGCTATTGGAACTCTTGTTCAGCCAGCTTTTGAAAACCCTAAAGTATAACAAAAGCTTCTACATGAAAGGAAAGAAAAGAAATATAAGAATAAATAGTATGTGCCTTTCTCAGAAGCTTTGCTTTGACCCTAGAAATCATTTTTGTGAATAAACACACACGTGCATACACACACAAACAAAAGATAAAAAGAAATCCTACCCCTTTTATCTGAAGGGCACTCTTCACAGCTTGGTCCTACAATCAGTAGTTTGAATATACAAAATTTTTTTCTTACATACTTTATCACATTTTCAAATGGTAATCTGATTTTTGTCCTGATTAGATAAGCTCCTTTGAGACCGCTGTACATCCCCATTCCACCCCACCCCCAACAAAACAAATACACACACACACACACACAAATCCTACGTGCAAGGCATATGTCACTTGCAACATTCCGACATGGCTCCTGCAGAGATCAGACGAGACCGGGTGCGTTCAGGGGCCGTAGACCGACATGGCTCCTGAAAAGGAACACGAAGAACTGTAACACAGCAGCATTCAACAACGGGTCATTATTGCCGTCGGACCAACGCGCGGTCACTGAGTGATGCAGCTGTCTCCCATGTCCTGAGCGTAGCGATCTGATATCGTAGTCCTTAACTCATCGATGTCCCTCCGCAGCTGGCACACGTCTGAGAGCTTTTTGGTGAGTGTGTCTGGGCCGTGGTCGTTCTCAGCCTCCTCAGCTGAGCAGTTCAGTGCTGCGGAAATGAAACGGAGAGGCCGTCGGACACTTTTTTAAACAATGACATTTTAAGGTTTTCAACTTAATTATCACTGGCAATATGATGTTGTACACTGAACACCAGTCAGGGTCAGATTTAAATTATGCGTCATTGAATATTAAATAGATCTTATCTACTGGGTCCTTAAAATTTTTTTTAAATGCATTAAATTCCTACAGTAATGCATACAAATTCAACACATTTAATGGACAACAGTATTCCAAAAGTAAAGAAGAGTGTGCTCTAACAACTTTATTTGGGCTTAACTGGGTGGGCCAAGGAAGCAGACTAAGCAAAGGTATAGACAGAAGTGGAAAACCACAGTCTGATAGAATTGAGGAAACTTCAGGAAAATCAGTAACCGGCTCTAAAATGGTAGAGCACAAATTATGAGAGAGGAGAGTGCCAAGAAATAAGGCTGAAGGGACAGGTGCGAGCTACCAATCTCCACTTTGGCGCAGTGTAAGGACTAGGAAACAGGAATCACAGTCACAGCAGATCACTCCGGCAGCGGTGTGAAAACGGTCTGGGGTAGGGTGAGTCGGCTGACAGACAGACCAGTCCAGAGGAAAGCCTGAATTAAGGCAACAGTGCAAAGAAGAGGCCATGGTAGGAATAAGCACTAGAAGTGGAAGAAACCGACAGAAATGACAGAGCCCAGTCACCCTCACCTTGCATTGGGGCCAGAGGTTGGGTATGGGACACACAATGGGGGAAAGAGGGTAAAACCTGGGTGACAGGTGGAGGGTGGTGCTACTCCCTGAGAGGAGGGAAGAAAAGTAGTCTCTGTTTTAGACAGACTGAGCCTGTGATGCTTATGAAGCAGCTGGGTCTAAGGTACAGATCAGTATCATCAGGAGCCCAGAAGGGACGTGCTAGGCAGAGTAAGAGATAAATGCCTATATGGGTTCCAGATATAGTGATGGCAGAACACACAACAGGACACGGGTGGGATTCTTCGGAGAAAATACATTCAAAGAGAAACAAACAACCGACCACCAAAGGTCCCTGGGGAGGCCAACACCGAAGTGGCAGAGTGATCCACAGAAGACTGAGGCTGAGCAGTCAGCACGGCAGGAGCGGAACACAGAGAATGACGTCACACAACCATGGCAGCACAGAGTTTAAGAAGGATGCGTGAGCAGCATCAACAAATAAATAATCCATGGAGTGGTGAGATGAGAATTCAAAAGAATTCCGGGGTTAAATTTTAAAGACTGGAAGGAGTGTTCATGGGAGGTGAATGTGGCAAGATTCTTAAATCTCCCTTTTATTCTTATCAGGTAAGAAATCTCTCTTAACCTAGTACTGAAAAAGGTAATAAATACTATATAGGGGTGTGCAAATATAGATTACAGAAAGAGTGACCATCTCTGAAATGGTGGAAAAACATGTTTTCTGAGAGTGAATTCTTGCTTTTTGTTTCAAGAGATCACTGCTAACTAAACCACCCCATATTCACCTACAATCTTCTTTAAGATTCTAGCCAATACCGGCTGCTCCGCAGAGCCTTCCTAGCCCTTACCCCGTAGATTGAACAGCTCTCCCTTGAGCTCCCACTGTGCCTGTCCACATCTCAAGTATATTTACCACAAGGCCCTAAGAACTGGGTTTATGAGTGAGAAGGGCTGTGTTCAGACTCTGCATTGTCAGTACCTCGGTGCTTGGACTCAAGGAGGCATTACTGAGTATGTACTGTGTGAATATACTCGCGTTTTTTTACCTACCCCTGCTTGTATACGTGAACACACATCTATGAAGTAAAGGGGAAAATTCTGCTGCTATCTCTGAACAGAGTTACAGGTTTCATTTAACAAGTGATACACTTTGATCAAGAGTATTACATATTTGGTTTGACAAAGTAACTATTATGAAGCAAGATGGTGGAATCTTTTTGATAAGACTGAAAAAAAAAACTAATCCCTTCTCTAGGTACGTATTTCCAACATTTTAAGGGAATTACTCAAAACACGTTGGTGTATAAATCTTATGACCTTACTCCATTCATATCTCCTAACTGAAGCCCATTTCTTCTGTATTTAGGAGACCGACAAGGCACTATTTCAATTTAGAACCACAGGCAGAGGTGAGTGTCCCTGTAACGGCAGCACAGAAGGGAAGTGACACAGGACCTTCCTCTCACAGCTTCGTGCGGAGGAAGGCAGGACAGAGGCACCACTGGTGGGTGTCACACTGAGAGGGATGAAGCGAGCAGGTGTGCATGACAGGAACGACAGGTCTGTAGGCCGTGAAAACTGCCACAGAACATACACTACACAGGAAAGCAGGTGAGTGTTTTTTCCTTCAATATTTTGCCCCATGAAAGCAAACAGAACGACTCTTTAGAAAGGTAACCAGGAAATCACACCTATTATCACTTCAATCACATACTCACCGATTTGGCACAGTCCTCCACTGGGCAAGTTCACGGGCACCCTGGGGAGTGCCATTCCATATCAACTACCGCCCTGCTCACTTCTGTAAGTCTAATGAGGTAAGTTCTAGCACTGAAGTAATACCAAGTATTCACAGACCCACAGACTGATTCAGAGATTTATACGTCTATGTAGGAATGGAGATTAAAAGCAAATAGGAAAAATGCAGTCAAAGTTCCCAACTCACGAAGACAGTTTCTAAGTGTTAAGCAATACCATAAGGACAAGTCATTAGCCACTTACATCTGATTCCCAGTAATAATGAAAGATTAGGCTCCTTGCCCTGAGCACGCTGATTAAGAATACTACACAATGCCTTCAAGTCAAGCAAACAATAGGACATTTCCTTGAAGAGCTGATCAATCACATTCAAATCAAATAGTGGTGGTCGTTTGGAAAGAACCGTCTGCTGCTTGGATTGGTCGGCTTCCTGGCCCTGATCCGAGAGAGAGAACGTCTCCTCTGTCTGTCTTTGGTTCTGCAGTGAATACAGATAACAAAAACCTGGTGGTTAGAACAGAGGAGAAGCACTCAAACGTGACAAGGGTAACTTTTCTCCCACGTCTAGAAACAAAACAGTGGAATGTTATATGCACATTCACCAACTGTACACAGAGTAGTGACAAAGAAAAGAGAAAAGTAATTTAAATTGTGGAAAAGGTACCTCTGTGCCAGCTGATCCTGCGGAGGACACAGAAATCCAGGGTCTTAGTGTGTGGGAGTCTCTCATGCTCTCACACAACGAGCATCTTGGTTGTGTATGTGTTTTTCTATAATTCGATTTATTTTATTTTTGTTTTTCTAAGAATTCATCCTTATTTATTTAATTTTAATTGTTATTCAAGTACAGTTTTCTGCCTTTTACTCCCATCCCAGCCCACCCTCCGCCACCCTCATCACCTCTCTCCCATTTCCACCCCCCCCAGAAATTCCTTCCCGTCTGGTCACTGTCCCCCTGTTCTCTATTTCAGTGTCTTTGGTTATATTTTGTTTGTTTGTTTGTTTTGTTGATTAGGTTCCTGTCAAAGGTGAGATAATATGGTATCGATTTATTTTAAGAACAAAGGAAACTCTACACCCCATCCTGTAGTTTTATTATTAGCATAGTAATTTAGATACTTTGCACCTTTTTTTGTATATTGAGGAAAAAGTACATATGTTATTATATTAACAGGAGCCAAAATGTTCAGTGTAGGAGAAAAATACAACCACAGAATAAAAGAAGGAATAAAATACCCTAAACAAGTATAAAGTATTGAATTGACTTGGAAGACTCAATATGAAGTCATGGTTTACTAAACTCTGAGAAAGTCACCCTCACCTCACCCCCACACTGCCCTCACTACTCCTCATCCCACTAATGAAAGGTCAGCTTAATTAGCTTTCCAACTGGGACTGCATTTCAGAATAACCAAATAGCCTGTGTTGATGAGGAAAAGATACATATATTTTTAAAAGAGATGAGTGCCAGCTAGTAAGCATAAAAGGAATGATATAATTAGAAAAAATACTATTCTTTTAATCATCCAGTAATTCAAACACTAATCACTGGTGGACACTAGAACCATTAAGGGAAAAGGGGGCTGGCAAACTACGTGCCCACACAGTGGCCTAAGCATCACCCCACAGACAACCCGCTTTTGCAGAGACTCTAACATCATCACACTGGAAAAAATCTTCCTGTTGGCGCCTTAACCCAGTAAGATGAGTATTGGTGTCCCTTATGGTAGAATAACCAACCACGCACAATTTGAGGACATGACCCACACCTGCAAAGTATTCAGGCCCAAGTGTGTTTGACCTGAAACTAGTGATACCTTTGGCTGTAACTTCTAGCTGACAAGGAAACAGAGGGAGTAGAGAACAAGACAAATGAAACCAGGAGGAAGCAAACAGACAAATCTAGAACTCTGATAATCTCCAAGTCTATGAGACACCAGGCCCGGTTTGGTCAACAAGTCATTAATATGGGAGAAGAAAAAGACCTTGGGTTCCTGAGACAAAATAAAATGCAACTCATGATCTTTACTGAAGGCTGGTTTAGAGTCACTATAAAAAACACTTATAAAGATGTGGAGCAATCTTAATGAAGACTGGGCACATTACTGAATGTCAAGAAAAACTATTCTTATTGGGTGTGACAATGGTGGAATGGTTACATAGGAAATGTCCTAATTTTTGGAGATGCATTCTGAAACGTTAAAGTGATACATATCATGATGTGATTAAAAATTTTAAAGTAAGTAGTATTTGTATATGTAACATGTCCTTAAATGCAAGCCAAGTGTTCCATCTCCTAATTAAGTGAAGAAAGTGTGATCTGTTCCAATGACAGCACCTTCCTTATGGATTTTCTGGGGTAATTTCATTTCTAGTCCATTTACACCCTAGTCCATGGTGCTGGGGCCTAATCTCTATCGAACATGTGACTTTGCCAGAGTAAGGTCTGTGGAGTTGTATTCTAAGAGAAAATAAATAAATAAATGTCTTCTTATGATTTTCGTAAGAAACCTAATAGATTTAATTAACTAGCATGTCAAAATCAAGTCCTCAATTTAAAAATGTTTTTTGAGTATGTACAAGATAAGCATTTATTTTAACTTAAATAGGTACTGAATCACGCTTTGAAAGTAATTTGAATTTCTTCTACTCACATCAAGCAATGTTTTTGTTAATCTGTGTAGGTTTCTTTCTTTCTTCTCCAACTCTTCCATCATCTTTTGTGTGGTCACTTTTTCTTCAGAAAGTTTCCCTTGCAGAGACTAGAATGAAGAGAATTGGAGAGCAAAGCATGTCAACACTGAGAGCAAAATGTAATTCTCTAGTAACAAGTGTACCGGCTCCGAATACTTTAGACAAACTACCCTTCCCAGCCCCTCGGAAGATGAAGGGCTTAGGTTTAAGTTAAACCATATCTTATCCCTAGAACAAATGACCGCAATAGGGAAAAATACCATCTCTTCTAAGAAAGTTTTTAATCTGGGTAGAACATGTTAAATCTAAAGTTGCTATTTAATGCTATATTGCAAAGAGTTCTCATTTTATTATGTATTGGGAGTGTATTAGCAAATCTGTACCTCTTAAAAAATTTTTCCTATAATTAATAATATACCAAATAGTAAGATCATAAGCCTGTCACTATTTTCTATCATATGAAACACAGTTAAACACCTGTCTCAGGACACAGTAATCCAAGTGAATGTAATGTTGAATTCAGGGCAAAGGCCTATTATGGGGCTTTGATAAACTAACCTCTTTCTTAACTCCATTACAAAGTTACAAATTATCCAGACACAATGCTAAAAACCTGAAACACTCAAAATCATAGAGATTGAATAGAATGCTACTAAACAATGAATGGGTCAAGAATGAAATTAGGGAAGAAATTAAAAAGTTTCTGGAAACAAATGAAAATGAACTCACACCAACCCAAAACTTATGGGACACAGTGAAGGCAGTCCTGAGAGGCAAGTTCATAGCAATACAGGCCTACCTAAAGAAGACAGGAACATTTCAAACAACCTACCCTATGTCTACAAGAACTCGAGGAACAACAACAAAGACAGCCCAGAGCAAGTAGAAGGAAGGAAATAACTAAGATCAGAGCAGCATTAAATGACATGGAGACTAAAAGCACAATTCTAAGGATCAATGAATCCAGAAGCTGATTCTTTGAAAAGATAAAAAAAAAATCGACAAGCCTTTAGGCAGGCTCATCAAGAAAAGGAGAGAGAGAGGACCCAAACAGAAACAATCAGAAATTAAAGAGGAGAGATTACAACTGATACCACAGTACAAAAGATCGTAAGAAATTACTAGGAAGAACTGTATGTGAAAAAATTTGAAAACCTAAGTGAAATGGACAAATTTCTAGAAAAATATAATCTTCCAAAACTCAATGAAGAAGCAGCAGAAAGCCTGAACAGACCAATAACAGATGAAATTGAAGCAGTCATCAAAAAAAAAACTCCTGACACACAAAAGCCCTGGACCAGATGGTTTCACAGGAGAATTCTACAAAACATTTAAGGAAGAGCTAACCCCTATCTTTCACAGATTATTCAAAAAAATCCAAAATTATAGAAGACTCCCAAACTCTTTTTATGAAGCCAGCATCATCCTAATTCCAAAACCAGATAAAGACACAAGAAAGAAAGAAAACTTCAGGCCGATATCACTGATGAACACAGACGCTAAAATCCTCAACAAATTATTGGCAAACCATATCCAACAATACAACAAAAAGATCATACACCATGACCAAGTGGGATTCATCCCAGGGACGCAAGGATGGTTCAATATTTGCGAATCAGTAAATGTAATACATCACATAAACAAAAGCAAATACAAAAATCACACGATCATATCAAGAGATGCAGTAAAATCATTTGATAAAGTACAACACCCATTTATGATAAAAATACTTAGCAAAGTGTGAATAGAGGGAGCATTCCTCAACATAATAAAGACCATATATGAGAGACGTACAGCCAACATCATACTCAATGGGCAAAAACTAAAATCTTTTACACTAAGATTAGGAACAAGACAAGGTTGTCCACTTTCACCACTTCTATTCAATATAGCATTGGAAGTTTTAGCCACAGCGATCAGAGAAGAAAAGGAAATAAAAGGCATCCAAATCAGAAAAGAGGAAACAAAACTATCACTGCTTGTAGATGACATGATAGTGTACATGGAAAATCCTATAGATTCTACCCAAAACTGCTTGACCTAATAAATAAATTTGGCAAAAACAGTGGGATACAAAGTCAATATCCAGAAATCAAAGGCATTTTTGTATACCAACAATGAAACAGCAGAAGCAGAAATCAAGAAGAAAATCCCATTCAATATAGCAAAAAGAAAAATAAAATACCTAGGAATAAACCTAACTAATGAAATAAAAGACCTGTATTCAGAAAACTACACAACACTGAAGAAAGAAATTAAGGAAGACACAAACAAATGGAAACATATACCGTGTTCGTGGATCAGAGAAATTAACTTCATCAAAATGTCCATACTACCCAAAGCAATTTACAGATTCAATGCAATACCTATTAAAGTACCAATGGCATATTCCACAGACTTAGAACTAACACTTCAAATATTTATATGGAACTATAAATGACCCCAAATAGCTGCTGCAATTTTGAGAAAGAAGAACAAAGTAGGAGGGATCACAATACCTGATACCAAACTGTATTACAAGGCCACTGTAATCAAAACAGCCTGGTACTGGCATAAAAACAGGCACATGGACCAATGGAACAGAACAGAGAGCCCAGAAATAAACCCAAGTCTCTATGGTCAATAATATTCGACAAAGGGGGCAGCAACATAAAATGGAGTAAAAATAGCCTCTTCAACAAATGGTGTTGGGAAAACTGGTCAGCTATGTGCAAAAAAAATGAAACTTGAGCACTAACTTACGCCATACACCAAAATAAATTCAAGGTGGATAAGAGATTTAAATATAAGCCGTGACACCATTAAAGTCCTAAAGGAGAACATAGGCAGGAAAATCCCAGATATTTCAAGCAGCAACATTTTTACTGATATGTGCCCTAGAGCAAGGGACATAAAGGAAAGAATAAACAAATGGGATATCATCAAAATAAAAAGCTTCTGCATGGCTAAAGAAAACAGTATTAAAATAAAAAGAGAACCAACCATAGGGGAAAACATAGTTGCCAATGATATCTCAGACAAAATATATAAAGAACTTACCTGACTCCACTCTAAGAAGACAAGCAACCCAATTAAAAAATGGGCAAATGACCTGAACAGACACTTCTCCAAGGACATACAGAGGATTCAGAGACACATGAAAAGATGCTCAATATCACTAGCTATCAGAGAGATGCAAATTAAAACCAATGAGATACCACTTCACATCAGTCAGAATGGCCATCATAAACAAAGCAACAAACAACAAGGGTTGGAGAGGTTGTGGAGAGAATGGAACCCTAGTGCACTCTTGGTGGCATTGCAGATTGGTACAACCACTATGAAAAACAGTATGGAATTTTCTCAGAAAACTAAAAATGGATCTACCCTTTGACCCAGCAATTCTACTGCTAGGAGTATATCCTAAGAACCCTGAAACACCAATCCAAAAGAACCTATGCACCCCAATGTTCATAGCAGCACAATTTACAATAGCCAAGTGCTGGAAGCAACCTAGGTGCCCATCAGTAAATGAATGGATCAAAAAACTATGGTACATTTACACAATGGAATTCTATGTAGCAGAAAGAAAGAAGGAGCTCCTACCCTTTCAAACAGCATGGATGGAACTGGGAAGCATTATGCTAAGTGAAATAAGTCAGGTGGTAAAAGACAAATACCATATGATCTCACCTTTACCAGGAACCTAAACAACAAAACAAACAAACAAACATGCAAAATATAGCCAAAGATACTGAAATAGAGAATAGGCTGACAGTGACCAAAGGGGAGAAGAGAAAGGGGAGAGGGGAGGGAATTTCAGGGGAAAAGGCGAAGGTTTTACAGGAACTAGTATAAAGGACACATGGACAACAACTAAGGGGGGTGGAAATGGAAGGGGTGTGGGGAGCACTGGGGGGGGTGGGCTGGGATGGGAGTAAAAGACAGAAAACTGTACTTAAACAAGAATTAAAATAAAATTTTAAAAAATTGCAAAAGTTAAAGCAAAATTTTGCTCTACCCAGCAAAATTGTCCTTCAAAACTGGATTTTCCACATAAGCAAAAGCTGAAGAAATACATCACCACTAAACTGACCTTACAAGAAATATTTTAAAAAACATAAGTCAAATATAAGGGCACTCATTAGTAACACAAAAACATATGAAAGTATAGATGTCACTGGTAAAGGTAAATAAAATATAGTAAAATTCAGAATTATCTAATGTCAATACTTTGTTAATGGATACACAAGATTAAAAAAATAAATTGTGGCATCAAAAATGTAAGAAGTGGGAGCACTACATTAAGAAACTTCTGCACAGCAAAGGAAACCAAAATGAAAAGGCAACCTAACAAATGGGAGAAAATATTTGCAAATCATGTATCTGATAAAAGGGTAACATCCACAATATAAAGAAGTCATACAACTCAATAGCAAAAATACATAAACAATATGATTAAAAAATGGGCAGAGGTTCTACATAGATATTTTTCAAAGAAAACATACAGATGGCCAATGGGTCCAAACAAAGCTGCTCATCATCAGGGACATGGAAATCAAAGCCACAAGGAGATTATCACCCAAGAACTGTTGGGATGTTATTATACAAAACAAAACAAAACCCTGGAGATAACAAGTGCTGGCAAGAATATGAGGAAAAGGGAACCTTGTGCACCACTGGTAGAAATGCAAATTGGTACAGCCACTGTGAAAAACAGTACATAGTTTCTCAAAAAAAAAATATAGAACAATCAGATGATCCAGAAATTCCATTTTTGAGTATTTATCCAAAGGAAACAAAAACTTCACCTCCAAATGATGTATGCACCCCATGTTCACTGCAGCAGTATTCTCAATAACCAAAACATGGAAGCAACCTAAGTGTCCATCAATGGATAAATGAATAAGCAAAAGTAATACTCCACTGTGTATACAGTACATACACAGTGGAATATTACTCAGCCACAAAAAGGAACTGTTGCCATTTGTGACAACAGGGATAGACCTTGAGGGTATTAAGTCAAGTGAGATACTTACAGTATACAGATAACAGAAAACAGACTGATGGTTTCAGGGATGGGAGGTTG